TAAACATTTTTAAGTGATAGCTATTTTTAGTATTGAAGTCATTATTGATATAATTGGATGGCCTGCTTTGGAAACTAACCCAGTAGTAATACTTTTATTTATAGCTGTAGGAAACTTGAATTTATGAATTCTAATAAATTCTCTCTCTTTTCATGAGCTAATAAGATATTGCCTCAAAAGGATTCACATTCCTCTGAAGTTGAGATCCTTGGGCCACACAGTACTTTCCTATTTCCACACACAATGAACTCAGTGAGATGTGTTCCCACTTATGTTATATAGGTATCTATAAGTCAATTATATAAATTAGCGCTTCTAGTTTTCCTTAAAAGCTCATTCTAGAAATTTGGTCTACCAATCCTTTACAAGCTCTATGATTACACAGAACTGAACTTTTAAAATTGTGTATTTTATTTATTTGATGGGTTAGGTTCCCTTTTTAAAAAAAAAACAAAATTAATGGAATAGTTTTCTAGTTCTATTTTTTTAATTGTTTACTCACATAACCTTTGACTCCATTATTTTTTGTGGGTCATTGACTTCAGTGAAATAAAGCTTCCCTACCCCCGATATAGAATTTGTTCTCATTGATCCAGATAACATTTATTTAGGTGTCTATTTTGTACATAGTGGTTGAAGGTATAGCCATAGATTATATGCCTGTTTGTTCCAAGGACAGCCTAGAAAAGTTCAGAGAAACTCATCACCAGGTTGGGGAAGAAGATTCTCCACCACAGCAACTCTCAAACACTATAAAGTTATTGAGGGCTTGCTATCTCTACTGATGGAAATGTCAATACCAAAGAAATTATAGCTCCTATAAGTATTAATGAGCATGAAAAAAGACTAAGTTAAATGAAGAGAAATGTATAAAGTTTATACACGTCTCTGTGTAATTTATAATCTAGCGGGTAGATAAGACATATACACAGATGACTATGGTACCCGCTATTACATGAAAAGTTCATGCATTGGGGATAGGACAAAGTACAAAGTAAGACCCAAGTGTAAAGTCATTACCAGCCAGGAGATCAAAAAAGGTCCCATGGAGATGACATCTGAGCTAGACTTTAAAGATTGCATTGATATTCAAAGGGCAAAACATGAAAGGGTGGCTTTTCATAGAATTATTGGTTTTAGAGCTGGAAGGGATCCCAGGGTCATCGAGCCCAATCCGCTCACGTGACAGATGTGGAAAATGAGGCCTATAGACAGGAAGTGGCTTGCTCAAGGTCACAAAGGAAGTAAGATGAACTTGTGGCTTGTTCCTGAGGGCAGACCGTTTTACTTAGAAAGCCACAGCCAACACTTGTCATTCAGAATATGGTCCCCTAGCCCCAAAGTAATCTAAACAACAGGTCGCGTAAACACAATTTTCTATTTCATTTTGCTGTGCACTGGCAAATAGTTTTATATGACACAATTTGGCACAATGACTATATACAGGAAAAAAAATTAAAAGAAGCTGAATCCAGTTAGACCTAACATCAGATAACTAGTTTTAAGAGATTTTTTTTTGCTTTTGTATCTGGTCATTTTACTGTCATACAAACCTCATAACAGACAAGCACACTCACACACACACACACACACCCATATATTCAGTTTTCCCCTCTCTTCCCGGACCTGACCTTTTAGCACTACTGAAGGCAGCTAGGAGCCCAGATGATGGTGGCAGGTACAAGAACAGAAATAATCCACAAGCATTTACCAAGTGCTGATGTATCAGCCCTGCGCTGAATCCTGGGAGTACAAAGAAAAAGTGAAAACAGTTCCTGTCTTCAAGGAGCTTATATTCTACATACAGAGTAAACACAAGGTAACCTTACAGAGGAAGGAACCAGCAGATTGGGGGTGGGGGAGGGGAGGGAACCTGGACAAGATCTCCTGCGAGGGATTTGATTCTAAGAGACAAAAGTGAGGAGGGAGAGATTTGTAGGCGTGTGAGACGACCAGTACAGAGGAAAGAAATGAAGCCTTATGTGTGAGGAACAGTAACTAGTATGGCATATAAGACCGGAAATGTTAAGAACTTTCTTTAAATGTCAAACCAAGGATGTTATATTTGATCCTTGTGGTAATGGGGGAAGCCATTGGAAATTTTTGAGTCGGGGGTGGGGAGGAAGTCTGTAACATAGTCAGACTTGCCGCTGTAGGAAAATCACTTTGGCCTCTGTATGGGGGATAAATTGAAGTGAGGAGGGACTTGAGACAGAATGACCAATTGGGAGGCTATTGCAACAGTCCAGGTGAGACGTGACAAGGGCCTACGCTGGCGTGGGGGCTGTAGGAGTGGACAAAAGGGGACATAGGTGGGAGATATTATGAAGACAGAAATGACAAGATTTGGCATCTCCCTGGATAGATACAGTGAATGAGAGTGAGAATCTGGAGATGATGCCATTGTGAAGTTGTGATGACCCGAAGGTTCCTGGGTGCTCTCATGCAATAATGGGAAGCTCAGAAGAAGGGTGGATGAGAAGCAAATGAGTTCTATTTTGGAAATGTTGAGCTTGATGCCTACAAATCATCCAGTATGAAATATCTAATTGGTAGTTGGTGACAGGACCACAGCTCAGGAGAGAGACTAAGGCTGAATATAGAAATCTAGGAGAAACGATCATTGATGATATAAAGTGTTTGAATACAGAGAGAAAAAAAAACCAGGACAAAGTCTTGGGGTAGGGTAACCATAGTTGTATAGATACACTTGTACACACTTAAGATAAGTGGTCTTTGACAGTGCTGTGATCCCACTTACCAGACGACAATGTTGAGGCACCTAGAGGTAAAACAGATATTTTTGGAGGTAAGCCAAGACAAAGGGGACCATAGCTCACATCTCCAAGGATATTTCATATTCCATGCAGATTCATAGGTTACTTGTGCTGGGAAGGACCTCAAGAAACTGTCCAGATAGATGAACTAGCCTGACTAGGCCCACAAAGTTGGAACCCAGGTCTCCTGACTCCTAAACTCCCTTTATACTATAGCACAGAAGCTCCATCAGTTTTGAACAGTATTGATATACAACCTCAATAATACATTATCTGTTTTAATTGAGAGCCATATCAGATCACAGGCAACTTAAAAGAGTGGATAATCCTGAGGGGTCTTTTGCCACCAAACTGCCCTCAATCAACGTCTCAGAACCTCTTCGTTCTTACGATTGTTGTTCAGTCATTTTATTGTTATCTAACTCTTCACGACCCCATTTGAGGTATTCTTGGCAAAGATACTGGAGTGGTTTGCCATGTCCTTCTGCAGCTCGTTTTACAGATGAGGAACTGAGGCAAATATAAGAGACTTTCCCAAACAAAACTATTTTCTTGGTCTTTACTGCTCACAGCCATAGCCAAAGATGATTGTTATTTTTTTAACAACTGTCTTGCTCCAGAGCAGAGGCTCTTAACCTAGGGTCCATGGACATCTAAGAGGCCCATGGCCAAAATTTCAGGGCAGGCTGTGAACCAGGAGGGGGAAAAAATTACATCTTTTTCACTTTTTCTAACTGAAATTTTGCATTTCCCTCCATTATGAATGTGGGTCAAAAACAAACACAGAGCAAAACGTTATCCTGTGAAGGGATCGATAGGCTTCAGAAGACTGCCAAAAGGGTCCGTGACACTTTAAAAAAATTTAACAACCTCTGCTCTAGAATAAAAGCAATTTAAATACTATAATTCTTCACTTTATGATTATACATATATACACAAAAGAAAATCACAGCTTACAAAACATAATTTAAATTTGTATTATTATTTTAAGTGTTAAATAATTCTTGCTTTACAAAAATATTCACTACAGATTTCTTTTAACTACCGAGCTCTTCATTACATTAGCTTAGCAATCATTTAACTGGCTAATAGAGAGCCTCAGGTAAAGATGAGTTAAGAACAACCATTTACTGGAGAATCAATCAAAAATGTAGACAAAGAATCTCTAAAATTAGAGTCATAGAATTTTGGAGCTGGACAGACACCTTAGAAGTCATCTGATCTAGCATCCATAGGAACCTGAAGCTGAGAATGATGAACTCGTTTGCTCAAGGTCACACAATGAGCTAGTAGGATTAAAACCCAACTATAATGCTGACTTATTAAGGGAAAACTGATTGATAATTTTGAAGAACATATTTGCTTGTATTTTATTATCACTAATTATTAATTATTTAATCTTTACATTTTTTTGTACTTTGATTATAGTCAGAAGCCTAGGTGAGCAAAGAGTACAGTTTTTAAAGCTCAGAATCAATAATTCTGGCCCTGGTCAAAACTGAAGTTGGGAAGGATTTGAAAGACTAGTTTACATTGAGATGAAAGCAACAGATGACATTTTGTGTACTGCACCGGTGACATTTGTATTTCAGCAGAGGAACCTGAATTACTATGTAAATTACAAAAGGTGCAATTCCAAGCATCTGTGACACATAGGTGTTACAAGTATTTGGAGCAAAAGAAGCCTTCCTGGCATCCTTCAATACTATACCTGTGGCTACCCACAGGACTTACCCCCCTGGCCATTCTCAAATTAAAAGCCAGAGCTCTCCTATTCAGTCAACACTGGCTAAAATCTTTGGAAGATCTCATAACTGAGACTGAAGATGACTTGTTACTGGTCTAAATGCCCAAAAGCGTTATCAGTAGAGAGGCAACTATGTAGATGTCTTGTTATACATGATTACAGTCTTTTAAATTTTTTTATTCTACTGCAGAATACAGACTCTGGAGAAGCAGTTTTACAATTTTGAGAGCTGAGATTTGAAATATCTTACTTTGCTTTACTATTAAGGATTTACTTAGTACAGTTTCTTGAATTTAGGAGTTTTCCCCCTAAATTTTGGGGAAATCTGATTCCATTTTGCTTTTACTACTAATCTGTAAGTTTCCTGAGGACAGGGACTAAATAATTTTTCATATTTTATTCACACTGTCTCACGCACATAATAGGCATTGAATAAATGTTGACTGAGTTGAATTTCATTCATTTGTTCCCAAAAGAAAGGGAAAAGGAAAGAAAGAAGAAGAAAAAAACAAAGAGGAAGAGGAAACACCAGTTCCATGCAAAGCTGTGGAATTAAACCCTGACAAAGAATGGTGCCTTCCTAGTGACCATGATTTCTGCAATTATATCACCGAGGTGTCCAAAACAATTTTGCCTATGACCAATCTCAAGGAGCAGATTGAGACTCTTGCAGAGTAAGTGGTTTTTTTTAACTTATATTATTTGTTTTTAAATAATTTTCCCAATTAAATGCATTGGGAAAAACAATCATGCAAACATGTTGAGCTTACTGTAATCCTTTACATGAACCATTTCTGCCCAGACAGAAGCATTTCTCCCTAGGAAAATCCTGTCTAACTCTGACCAGAACCTAAGCCACCTTGGGAACGATCTCATAACTTGGGCAATTATTGAAATTCTGTTCGTTGTCACATTCTCGTCTAGAATTGAAGTTAGCAGTTGGAAGAGAACTCTCTCCCTCTCCCCAAAATTGTCTTTCTTCCTAGTTAAATATTACACAAATACACAAATATTACACATTCCTCTATACATTGAAAGGGGGCCTGAAAAAAACAATATATAAATACAATTTTTGTAAATCACATCATATTTTATATGCATAGAGTTCTCTGTGAAATGTGAAATATTTTCCAAAGCCAAAAGTTCTTTTGTAAAGCAGGTGTCCCCTAATTTATTTCTTTTGTTTTAGATTTTAGTTAGCATTTCAGGTTTATTTAAAGTGGGTTGTATTTTTGCTGTTAATGTATCTATGGGTTAGTTAACTAGGGCATAATTTATTTCAATGGCTTCATTAGAGATCTTGATTTGATTCCATTAATGGTAAGGTTAAAATTCTGAATTAGAAACTGCATGGAATTGATACTCCTTGTAGAAAAGAAAGAAGCAATTGTGATTGACACTAGCCAAAGGAAGGGCTGCTGCATTCTATTCCAGCTGCAGGCTGCATGGGGTCCATAAATCTGCTCCAAGTGGAAGGACATTGTAGTAATCAAGTCTGGATATGATGACTACATAGACCAAGGTGCCAAATCACCTAGTTTGGCCCAAATGGGAAAAGAGCATTTGTTGCTACTAAGGGGATTTTGGCTCACTAAAACATACATACACACATACGTGTGTATATATATATATATATATATATATATATATATATATATATAGGCACATATATCTACACACACATACATAAATACATACATACATCTTTATTTTTTGAATAGGAATTTCTCCTGTTTGCTTGACTTTTGCACTGTTAACATGCTCCAAATAATGCTATGATTGTTTCCTGATGGCACAACTCAGCCAGGAGAGATGTAAAGTATGGGACTCCAGGAAATTTGTGTTCCTTTTTCACGAAGAAGAAATGCAGCTTCAGGCGAGGGCCTTTCAGCTCCTTTCTCCATGGTTCTCATTTTCCCAACACTCCCTTTGCCAGAGGACAGGGGAGCCTGCTCAGGAAGATTCTGATTCCTGCCTTTGCTCCCTTTGGTATCCCTGGACTTGGCATGGGTGCCTGCAGCAGGCATGCAGGGGGATTTTGCTAGGCTGCTGTGGTTTACAGGCTGCAGGAGAAACAAAGGCAAAGGCAAGCAATTCCCATGTGGCATCCCTCCAGGCTCCACTACCTACTCTTTCTTCTTTCTTCTCCTCCCCCCTTCCTTCTCCTCCTTCTTTTATCTTAATATAATTTATTCTTTTTGCCTGCAATTTAAAGGGGAGTTTAAACTGAAAAAGAAAAGGTGGAGGGGAGAGGGTAGAAGTGGGTGGACTGCATATGTCCACCAACCTAAACGTTATGGAAAATATCAAGATGGTAGGGTCAGTAACTGCAATGAAGATACCCAGAAATTGATTAGGAAAAAAAATTTCAAGAAAAGAACTAGTAACAGAATCTATGGTACCAGATGTTTATACACGTATATAAAATATGGCAAACAAGCAAGATGAACTAGAAAGCCCAAAACAGTGAGGTAAATTTGTCCTCATAGTATCAGTGAGGCTGAGACCCCTAACCGGAGCATGGTTCTGCAAGGCGGTATGTTGTACAAAAGAGACATGATAGGTTAGAAGGAGGAGGGGCAGGTAGCATTTCCCATTATGGTGATATCCTCATGGGGGGGAGTGGTTCAGCAGAGCCATAACTAGGAATTTTTGTAGACAGAACAAGCAATATAAACTAAGCCTAGGGTCTACAGAGCCCTCATTTGGGAGAAGTGGGTTATCCTTGTGGCCTCTGGATACTTGGGGACCACTTATGAAGGCTTCCTATTTAAGCCACTTATTCTTGATGGCAACCAATCAATGCAAATACTTATTAGCTGTCTACTACATGCCAAATATTGGGAATGTGAAAAGAAAAATGAAACAGATTTTTCTCTCAAAGCATTTATTTTAAATTAGGGGGAAAGTACAGATACAAGAAATACAAAATATATTAAAAAAGCAATAAAAGATATCTTAGGGAGGGGGACCTAGCAGCTGACAAAATCAAGGAAGGCTTCATACGGGAGGCAGTGCTTTAGCTTGAATTTAGAAGCTAGAGGTGGGAATAAGGAGGGTATGTTCTGGGCATGAGGGACAACCTGGAAAAAAGCACAGAGGTGAAATTATATTTGTGAGAAACAGCAAGAAAGTCAGTGTGGGTGGACCCTAGAGTTTAGGAATGGGAACAACGTATGATGAGCCTGGATGGAGCCAGCTTCTTGGGGGGGCTTAGATATCAAACAGTGACGTTTGTATTTGAACCTAGGGTAATAGGAACTACTGGAATTCGCTGAGGGGAGTGGCACGGTCTGGTGCCTGTTATAGGAATATAATTTGGGCAACTCTGTGTGGACTGGAGAAGGGAGAAGTGTGAGGCAGGAAGATTAATTAGGAAGCTATTGCAATAGTCATTGTGAGAGGCCATGAGTAAGTCCTGAACTAGAATGGTGGCTAGAGCGATAAAAAGGAGATTACAGATGCAAGAGCCATCATGGTAGCTGGAGTCGTGTCTGCACACCTGACACCCAAGGACCCACATTCCTTAGGAATTAGGGGGACAACAGCAAACACAATCTGATGATTTGGGGGAAAGATTAAAAAGGGCTTGAAGCTAACACTGCCCTCCTCCCATCCCCCCCCCCCCCAAAAGACATCAAAGCATACTATTAGGGCTAGAAGAGATCCTCGGAGGATCTAGGCCAGCTCCTTATTTCTGCAGAGGCCCCCAACTTGCCCAAATTTACAAAGGCAGGACTCTTAAGTTGAGGTGGGGTCAAATGCAACACCAGTTTCATAGACTTACAAACCATTGGAGCTAGAAGATATTAATCCCTCATTTTAAAGAGGAGACCCTGAGTAGATAATCTTTTTATTTACTTATCTGCAAATATATTGCATAGTAAAATGTAAGTTCCTTGAGGGCTGTTTCCTGTGTTTCCCCAGTACCCAACTAGTGCCTGTAATGTAGTTTGTATTTAATAAATTCTTATTCAATAGAGCAAACCATAAATTAACCACCAGAGGAGGAAAAACAGATGGATTTATATTTTTCTATTATATATTAAAAGAACAATTAACCTGTTTGCCACATAAACAAAATTAGAGGAACGTTTTAAAACTCCTGCAGGCTCTGGGATAAAGACAAAAGGGGCGCTGGAGCAAGGAAGTGAACTGACTCCCCAGGGACAAAAGCTTGAAACGAAAATACAGACACTTGAGAAAAGGAAGAAGTCAGCTGACACTGGGCCATTTCCCCAACCCACAGTAGCAGTGCATGAGACTGGAATTAAGACAGATTGGTGCCATTCATTTTTTAGGACTATAACTATTCTTACAGTAACCAGGCTCTAATATTAATCCCCTTTCTATTCTTTACATGCCTTTTAACAAATTGGGTTTGGTTTAATGCTCTTATAAGCCTGGCTTTTCTGGTGGAGTACTGGAAAGGCCCCAAAAGAAAGACCCCTACCAAGCCAAAATCAGGTCTTCCCCAGTTTTCCCTGGGTGGGGGTAAAAACAAGCCATTATTGAGAAGTCTGCAGGATTGAATCCTGTCCAGGTAAGCTCAGAGCTGTGGTTCTGAGCCAAATACATGTATTCATGTGAAAAATATTTTGGGGACCTCTGGAGAAATGCCTCTATGTTGTCTCAAGTTCCTGAAAAGAAGAAGCTACATGTTAGGTCCAGGATTATAAGTTAAATCACTCACATTTTAAAAATTAATGTTAAAGGACAGTCATTATAATACAAATTTTTAAATAGATGGTCTTTAATTCATTTTGAATTCCATACGTGATCACGTGGGACTGATTTTTGTTTTGGTTTCTAACAATTGAGAAATTATTAATTTTCAAAATGCTTCTTCACATTTAATGAAGTAACTAGAATTGTGGCATGTCTGAATGGCCTGCAGACATTGCATTGTTATATTAACTTAATGTTAAGCCTACTTAAAGAGATCATAAGGAAATTTTTATGTAAAATGTCTTTTCTGTTTGTATACATATAGTTTTGTTATAAAGGATCATCATAAGATCTCTAAGACTGATTTATTTTCTCCCAATTTAAAGGTTTGTGGCAGGAAAGATGGGTGGTCCAGTTTCAAGAGAGTTGCTGCATGAATTCAAGTGGGAACATCACATAAGCGAAATAGAATTTCAACTAAAATCCAATGTCGTACCTATTGGATATATCAAGAAAGGAACCTTCTACCACCGAGCTCTGCTTTTCAAGGCATGTTGAGTTGCCTAACTCATAAAAATCACTGGAGTCCCTGAGAAAAAATAGCAAACACATGGCAAGCTCACTTTGGATTCACCGAATCCAAATGACTGAGTGGATGGCCAAGGGTCAGCCAAGCCAGACCAAATGACGTGATAATGTTGTGTGCTGAAATCTTTCACCCCAGACAACAGGAAGCACTTCCTTTCATTCCTGTTGCTTGTGGCCTGAACCACAGACCTTTGTACAAGTGGGCTGGAAATCTCCTTTCACCTGGGCAGCTGGTTCTTGGTTGTCTTCAAGCCATTCCCTCTGGTCCCCATCAGAAGCTCTTTTCTGGCTCCCATGGGGCAAACTAATGTGGCCCTTATTTTCCCTTAAAAGTTCAGCTCAAACCCCCACCTCCCTAATCCCTGAAAAAGAAAGCATTCCCACTACTTCAGAGGTAGTGTGGCACCTTCTCTACCTCCCCCCTCCAGCAAAGTCACTTAACCTTACTCATTTTATGGTCTCAGCTATTCAGCACAAACTGAGGTGAAGGGTCTGGCAATTATCTGGATAATTCAGGCAATAAAATCAGCCTTTGCTTCAGTTAGCAAGTTAATTAAGGGTGGGTTTTCTCCCCTTCAAAATAGCCCTGGCAATTGTGGCTGCGAGGACTTGTAGCTGTAGAGGAGCTATGTGAAACAAAGGTTTTTGTGACATTTTCTGAAACTGATTCATATCAATTCTGAGTCCAATTTCATTTTTAAAGGGAAATACCTCATTGATAATTTACCCAGAAAAGACATTTTCTTCCAAGCTAAAGTTAAGGGTCCCTCAACTTCCCTTACAAGTGCTTAGTACCTTTTTTAAAAGACAAAAAAATAAAATACTTCAATTGTTGCCCCGGTTAAAAAAAAAAAAAAGGAAAGCAGAGCTCACTTTTCCTAAGAAAGGACTGAATTACCTTGTTTCCTCCCATCAGTTTCCTTTGCTTTGCTCCTTGACATTTCACTCTAGCATTTGGACGCATCGGGGAATCGTGGAATCATCTGGGTCCTAGTCCCCAAACAGTCCTCCTTAATTTTCCATGTTTACTCAAGAGCAGTACTTTACCCAAAGTTATTGCAATCAGTAAAGCTTGTTGGAATTTCTCCCTTTCATCAACAACTACTTTCTGCTTGGAATTGAAATGCTGCTTGGAACATAATTGTGTGTGGGGGTAGACAATGAAAGTGATGAGGAGTGGGCTGATTCTTTCACAGATAGGATTTATCTATGGATTTAGAATGGCAATGATCACATCTCACCCTCTCATTTTACATTTTTCATTTAACTGAGGCCACCAAAATGTAAGTGTTTTGCCCAAGGATGCACTATTTGTGCCCGACCTGTGGTAGAGCCCTCCAAACTCATATGAGTCTGATCAGTTACAGTCAGACACACTACAACTTGACTCCAACATAGTAGTGTCATTTTGGTCCTCTTCAAGCACAAAGACCAGCCACCAAACCTCTGAAATCAGAGGACCCAGGTTCAAGTCATCCTCCCTGTGACATTGGGCCTCAACTCTAAAATGAGGAAATTGGACCAGATGGGAGAGAAGGCAGTAAGCACATATGTGTGTGCCTGGTGCTTTGAACAAATGTTTCATTTAATCCACACAACTGCCTTGTGAAGGAGGTGCCGTTAGCCCCATTTTACAGTTGAGATAAAGTGACTTGCCCAGGATCACACAGCTATTAAGTATTAAAGGCTGAATTTGCACTCGGGGCTTCCTAACTTCAGACCCAGTGTTTTAACTACCTTACCACCAGCTGCCTGTGAAAACCCAAAGTACCCTCCGGCTCTAACTGTATGGTCCTGGTTTGCTGAGGTTACTTAGGCAATCAGTAACAGTGCCAGCATTCAACACAAAATCTCCCGAACCACCCTGTTCTTTCCACTCTACAGATAATGCACTGTCTAGTCAGCTTCGGGAATTCACCAAACTAAAGACCAGCTGCACGAAGCTCATTGCAGCATGATTCAGGGGAAAAGGCAACAGATCAGGAATCAGAGACCCTGCCCTTTATAACCTGGGTCATCATAAGAAAATCTCATAATGCCTCCCCCCCGTACAATGAGAGAGTGGGGCTAGACAAATTCAGGTCCCTTCCAACTGGAGACCTGTGACCCTATGATTTCCCCACAAGGTTGGGAGAGGAGAGACAGAGAAGGGGGAAGGAAGGGAAGGGGAGAGGTAAGTGACAAGCAGCCGGACAGCAGCAGAGCAGCAGCTCAGGACTGGCAGTCCCTTGGGCTTGGAAAACAGCTGGTGTTCTTTGTTCTCCCTATCAAAGAAAAAGCAGGTAATCGACCATCTTTTTCATTCTGTGTATTAGGCTACTGTTTTGCTAATAATAACATTTGTTGAGAGCCTAATAGAGAATTCAGCTACCTTTGAGGCACTAAAATTTTAATCAAATTCAAAAAACGGATTTCTAATGTTTAAATACTGACATTTATCACCTTTAGAATTTTGCAAGTAATCAAGGAAATTGCCATTAAAACTTGGAGCGGTTCCCATTTCTCAGCACTTCTGTTATGTCGATTCCTTGATCAAACTAAACACAATGTACAGCCTCTGCCTGTTAGAATTTCCAGTCCAAGACTGTATACAACACACAAGAAATATGTGGGCTTGAAACAACTACCTAACATTCTAGAGTTAGGCTCTTCCAAACCCCTTAGGTCAGGACTGCCGGAGGTGGATATCTGCCAGGTAGCTTCCCCGGAACCAAAGCAAGATGTTCAGGGCAGGGAATGCTTGGATCAAAGAATTAACCAAGAAGCAATCATCATAAAGCACACCCTTTAATAAAGTTCAGTGACTCCCTATCCCTTGCAGAATCAAACATGAAATAATTCTGTTTATAGTTTGAAGTTCTTCATCCCCTGGTCCCTTCCTATCTTTCTGGTCTTCTTGTACCTTAACTCCCTTCTAAATGCACTTTGATCCAATGACATAGGTTTCCTTGCTGCTCCTTGCACAAGATTTCCCATCCCCAGACACTAGGCTTTGTCATTGTGGCCCCAATCTATCCTGTTCCTGGAATTTTCTTCCTTCTCACTTCTTTCTCTGACTTCCTTCAGGTCTCATAAAATCTTTTCTTCTACAAGAAACCTTTCCCAAACCCATTAATGCCAGTATTTCCTCTGCATCCTGTCTGTGTATTTTGTTCGTATGTGGTCATTTGCATGGTATGTGTCTTGTTAGACTGTGAGCTCCTTAAAAGCATGGACTAGTTGTTGCCTTTCTTTTTAATCCCAGTGCTTTGCACAGTGTCTGGCACTAAACAGTTGCTTAATAAATGTGTGACTGACTTGCACGGACAACAACCACAGCTTTGGCTCCATACTCCTATCCAACCACATTTACTCATCCAATAAACAAACTGAAAACAAGTGCTGCTCTTCCCCTCTCCCAACTAATTTGGCTTCTCTTTTTTTCCTTCCAACCTGACATATTGAGAGAAAAGAGGAGTAGAATGAAAATTCACTTTCTGGGTAATTAATAACTGCCCCAGTGATGGGAGCAACTTGAATGGTTCTTCTTCATGGAATTAATTTAAACACACACACACACACAGACACACACACACACATATATCCAGAAAAGACTATAAGGTATTTGTGCCCTATAGAATTTTTCAAAGAATCATCAAAATTAGCTTTAAAATTCTTAAAATTCATTTGCTCCTGCATTGTGGCAAGTTAGCTCTTCTGCTTCACCAATCCCTTGAACAAACTATTTTACCAATATCAATTCAGTGTGCTGGGTTTTTTAAAAAATAACTAATGATCTCCCCCTCTTCTCCCACCCCCACCCCAACACATTCTCTTATTTTATTGCTGTTTTCTTTCACAGGCTTTAGCCGACAAAATTGGGATTGGTGCCACTTTAGTCCGAGGAGAATACAACAGGGCTTGGAATGAAGTTAAATTAGTTGACGAATCATATAAAGGCATAACTGGATTGCTGCCTCGTCCCGAAGAGTTTATTGTTGACCTAATGTATGAGCCTGGCACTCTGTTGAAGAAAAGAAGTAGAGAGGCAGAGCTCTACAAATTTATTTAATCCAAAAATTGTTTGAAAGAAAAAAACTCATTTGTTAAATGTTTGAGATATATTTCCTATAAAGCATAAATACTACAGTTTTCCTTTGTTTTGTCAAAGCAATAGAATTTTTCTATTTTTCTCTGCACTTAGAATGTTAAGGAACTTAATTCAACTTTATTTTGTACTTCTAATTATAGATCATTAGCCACAAGTTCACAATCTTTGCATTATGTTTTGTTTTTTTTCTGTTCTCTAAGTTACATATTTTGTTAACACTTAACCTAGCTAGCTCACTAGGTTTTTTTTTTCCTAGAAAAGTATCTGTCCTTCTGTATTCATGTCCAAATGATCACAGCCATTGTAAGTAGTATGATAATAATGCCTCATTTAGCATCCTTAATATTGGTACTATTTTATAACCAGAGTACCTCACAAATACTTTGGGTTAAATCAGTCTAGTTGTTTTTAATAGTCTTTGGCTCACTACCATTGAGTAATTACACTATATTTTCATCCTGTAGGTGTATTTTGTGATGTTTCCTTTCTAAGAAAAAAAGTATTCATTTTAAGAGGGTACCTACTATGAACATCATTGAAAGTTATTTGATGTATTGAAATTGTCATTTATCCATTTTCAGAAAATGAGTTTTTATTGTCATAACTGTATTAGTAGAAATAAACTTTCTTCGATCACAAAAGCAGTTTTCTTATTTACTTTGATACTGATAAATAAGGCATATTTAGCTACTAAATTTCTTAGGTTCTCATTTAAAAATATGAGAACTAGGAATGTTATAGAATGTGAGAGATTGTTGTTAGTTGTTAGTTTAAATGGAAAAATAACATGCAACTATACTTTTTTTAAATGATAGATCAGGATGCAGTCATACATATTAAATCATATTAGTAACGTGATCAACCCTAAGAATAAAAAAAAAATCTTGCCATAGATGAGCTATGTCTATTGGTTAAAGGTTAAAAGGTATTCTATAGTGAGATTAACTTTGTGAATCAAGGCCATTCACACCATTGTATGGCGTGGAGTTTTCTTCTCTAAAGAAACCAGACTACTTTTGTTTTGTCACATTCCATGAAAAACCAAAGCATAGTTATACAGAATACATGTTCCTCAATATAAGAACTTGTAGTAAAAAAAAATACAAGTGAACAAATATCAGTTAACAGACATCTTTGTGCCTTGAATACCAATCTGAGACGTCATTTTTCAGAAATTCCATTCGCTAAATGTTTTTCGCCCAAAGTAGCAGTGTGTCCTACCCTCGTTAGAATATGTTACTTCTATTAATACCCATTCACATTGAGCTTGCCAGGACACCAAAACCATTTAGATTGTTGTCTAGCCTCACCTCCCTTAACAATACCACTACTAAGGCTGTATCCCAAAAGAGATAAAAAACAAAAAGGAAAATGACATACGTGTACAAAAATATTTATAGCAGCTTTTATCTGGGGGGTAAAGAATTAGAAGTTGAGGGAAAACCTATCAGTTAGGGAATGGTTGTTTGAACAAGCTGTGGTATGTAATTATGATGGGTATTATAAGAAACGGTGGGCAGGATGCTCTCAGAAAAGCCTGGAAAGACTTGCATGGACTGATACAAAGTGAAATGTACCGTGTACAAAGTAATGGCAATACTGTAAGATGATCAGCTGTGAATGACTTAGCTATTCTCAGCAATACAACGATCCAAGACAGCTCTGAAGGACTTATGATGAAAAATGGTATCCATTCCTAGAGAAAGAACTGATGATGTCTGAATACAGATTGAAGCATGCTTTTTTTTACTTCATTTATTTTTCTTGAGCTTTTCTTTTGTCTGTTTTCTTTCACAACATGACTATCATGGAAATGTTTTGCATGACTATACATGTATAACCTACATTAAATTGCTTGCCTTCTCAATGAGGGGTGGTAGGGAAGGAGGAAGGGAGAGAATTTGAAACTCAAAGTTTTAAAAACGAGTGTTAAAAATTGTTTATACATGTAACTGGGGGAAATAAAATACTAAATAAAAACTAAAAGAAAATAAAGACTAATAAGATAAGAAAGGGCTTTAAACTCCAAGCTGAAGATTTTATGTTTGATCCTGATTGGAAGCCACTGGATTGTATTCAATAGGGGAGTGACATGGTTAGACTGCACTTCATCTAAGCGATTAATAAAAATGTTAAAAAACAATGAGAACCCTCTACTATAGCCTTCTCTCCTGGCTAACACAGATCCATTCATTGATGACTACCCTTTGGGTCCTGGCATTCAGTTTTTTAAAAAGCACTTATAAAGTGTGGATCTACCTAATTATACTATCATCTAACCTACTTTTTTTTTATCTTTGCCCAAAAAAGACTTTATCAAGTCCATTATTTTAAAAAATCTAGATATAAACTAGTGAAAATTTGGGGCATTTAATTTATAGTTAGAAGACCTGGATTGGAATTCCAATTCTGTTATTTATAAGCTATGTAACTCTGAAAAAGTTGTTTAGGTAAGTCATTCGTTGTTGTCAATGAGTCATGCCAGTTGTGCCCAACTCTTCATGACCCCATTTGGGGTTTTCTTACTGGAATGGTTTACCATTTCCTTCTCCAGCTGATTTGAAAGATGAGGAGACTGAGGCAAACAGGGTACACACAACTAGTAAGTGTCTGAAGCCAGATTTGAACTCGAGAGATGAGTCTTCCTGACTCCAGGCCCAGCACTTTATTCATTTAACCCTAGCTGCCCTTTAGTTAAGTCAACAAGCATTTATTAGGCCTCTTCTCTGTACCAGGTACCATGCTAATTAAAAGCCTGGATATGAAGAAAAGCAAAACAGTTACTGCTGTCAAGGTGCTCCAGTCTAATGGGGGAAACAACATGCAAATAACTATGTACACACAAGATATATACAGGACAAATTGAAGGAAGGCACTGAGGTTAAGCAGGGCCAGAAAAGGCTTCTTATAGAAGGTGGAACTTTATCTCGGACTTTAAGTAAGCCTGGAAATGGAGGTGAGGAGGGAGAAAATTCCAGGCATGGGGAATAGCAAGTGAAAATGTCCAGTTGGGAGGTGGAGCAGTGATGACATGTCTCTCCCCAGATTACACCACCTTGGGAGCACTGAAAACATGCAGACCCCCAGAACTAGCTCTGAAAACAGCAGTAAAAAAAACTTCAAAGTTTGGGATGTGCCTCCCCTAGGAGGTGAGCAGAGCTCAACTTTAACATAAAATTAAAAGTCAAGATTCAGGCTAGAAAAATGAACAAACAACAAAAAAAGAACTTGACCATAAAAAGCTGTTCTAGTGGCAGGGAAGACCAAGACACAGACTCAAAAGATAATAATGTGAAAAGCACTATAAGCAAGCCTCAAAGAAAAATACTAATTGGACACAAGTCCAACAAGAATTCCTGGAAGAGTTAAAGAAAGAGATAAGAGTAGTAGAGGAAAAAGTGGGAAAATAAATGAAAGTGATGGAAGAAATTTATGAAGAGAGGATTAACTGCATGATAAAAGAAGCACAAAAAATATAAAGAAAATAACACCTTAAAAAAAGAGGTACAAAAATTCACTGAAGAAAAGAATTACTTAAAAAGTAGAATAGGTCAAATGGAAAAGGAGGTACAAAAATTCACTGAAAAAAACAATTCCTTAAAAAGCAGAATTAGCCAAATGGAAAAGGAGGTACAAAATATTACTGAAGAAAATAATGCCTTAAAAATTATATTTGGACAACTGGAAGCTAATGACTTCATAAGATTTCAAGAGACAATAAAACAGAGTTTAAAAAAATGAAAAAAAAGAAGAAATTGTGAAATATTTCTAACAACTAATACGGAAAATAGATAAAGGAGGGATAAGTCAAGTATTATTGGACTATCTGAAAGGCATGATCAAATAAAAAGCCTAGACATCATATTTCAAGAAATTATCAAGGAAAAGTGCCCTGAAATCCTAGAACCAGAGGGTAAAATAAAAATTGAAAGACTCTACTGATACCTCCTGAAAGAGAGGGATCCAAAATGAAAACTCCCAGGAATATTGTAAGCAGCCAGAAAAAAAAAATTCAAATATGGAGCCTCAGGATAACACAAGATTTAGCAGGTTCTACATTAAAGGACCGAGGGCGTGGAATATATACTGGAAGCTAAAGGAACTACAATTACAACCTAGAATCACCTGCCCAGCAAAACTGAGTATAATCCTTCAGGGACAAAATGGATATTTAGTGAAATAGAAAACTTTCAAGCATTCCTGATGAAAAGACCAGAGCTAAATAGAAAATCTGACATTCAAATACAAGACTCAAGAGAAGCATAAAAAGGTAAACATGAAAGAGAAATCATAAGAGACTCAATAAAGTTAAACTGTTTACATTCCTATATGGGAAGATGATTCATGTAACTCCTAAGAACTTTGTCATTATTAGGGAAGTTGAAAGGAGCTTACATAGATAGAGGGCATGGGTGTGAGTCAATTGTGATTTCTAAAAAAATAAAGAGGTGAGAAAGAGGGATGCAGTAGGAAAATGGGGAAGGGAAATGTAAAATGGGGAAATTTTCCACACATAAATGAGGCATGCAAGGAAGAGTTTTTACAGTGGAGAGGAAAATAGCAGGTGAGGTTTAGCAGGCAATGCTTGAAACTCAATCTTATTAGAATTGGTTCAAAGACGGAAGAATATATACATACATATATATATGTATATATATATATATATATATATACATATATATGTGTGTGTGTGTGTGTGTGTGTGTGTATATGTGTGTGTGTGTGTGTGTGTGTGTATGTATATGTATATTCACATATTCAGCTATGTATAGAAATCTATCTTACCCAATAGGGGAATAGGAGGGAAAGAGGATAAGAGAAAAGGGGTGGAGGTAATAAAAGGGAGGGCAGACTAAGGAAGGTAGTGGTGAGAAGTAAAACAAGACTTTTGAAGAGAGACAGGATAAAAAAAGATAATAATAAACAAAAGAAAATGGGATGGGGGGAAATACACAGTGAATAGTCATAACTGTGAATGTGAATGGGAGGAGCTAACCCCAAAACAGAAGAAGATAGCAGAATGGATTAGAAACCAGAATCCAACAATACATTGCTTGCAAGAGACACTCTTGAAACAGAAGGACACCCACAAAGTCAAAATAAAGGGCTGGAGCAGAATCTAATATGCTTCCATGAAGTAAAAAAGGTTGAGGTAGCAATTATAATCTCAGACAAAGCAAAAATAGACTAATTAAAAGAGATAATCAAGAAACTACACTTTGCTAAAAAATACCATAGACAATGAAATAATATCAAAAAAATTTTTACAGCAATCTCTTTTTGCAGCAGATGAACAGGCTCTTTAGACTCTGCTTTACTGCCTTTCATTCCTCTCTTCTCATTCACCAAGAAGTCCAACTAACTCCCCAGTGGGTAATAGTTTCACTATACTATCTTTGTGGGTCTCCAGCCATGCTCTGGGACTACCTTATAAACCAGAAAGTTTCCCATCTTTTCTATAACTTAACATGGAGTGCCTTCAATAGTCTCCTATCTTGCTATTTCTTGCATTCCAGCATTTCTTAGTGGAAAAAATTCTATTCCCTTGCTGATGATCTTAACACTGAACTTGAGCTTCTTCCAATACGTGACATTAGTTATAGTCCAATACACATGCAATATACATAATTCTATTACACATCTTAAATGTCTCCAACTCTCTCAACAATAAAGGGCCTTCTCAAGAATAAAACTTGAACCCCCTAGGATCAAGCCCATGCTTCTTGGCTTTTATGCCTTCTCTTCATTCTTTATCATCAATCAATAAGTATTTATTAAGCACCTTCTATGTGTCAGGTGCTGTGATAGACTGTAGGTCACAAATAAGAAAGAAAGAAAGAAAGAAAGAAAGAAAGAAAGAAAGAAAGAAAGAAAGAAAGAAAGAAAGAAAGAAAGGAAGGAAGGAAGGAAGGAAGGAAGGGAGAAAGAGAAAGAAAGAGGAGAGAGAGAAAGAAAGGAAGGGAGGAAGGAAGGAAGGAAGAAAGAGAAAGAGAGAGAGAAAGAAAGAAAGAAAGAAAGGAAGGGAGGAAGGAAGGAAGGAAGGAAGAAGGAAGGAAGGAAGGAAGGAAGGAAGGAAAGAAGGAAGGAAGGAAGGAAGGAAGAATCTTTACTCACAAGAGCTAGGCCACGTTCTGTTGTTTTGGTTTGGTTTTACTTCAGTCCCCATGTCCAGGCATCCAAGGGCAACAAAAAGAAGGAAGATCATTTCAGTGCAACCAAGTTTGCATTTGCTGATGTCGAAGGCCACACATGGTAGGTAATGAAGTCAGTCTTTGAGTATGGAGTGATTTCCATCCTCAGTCCCCTCTTTCTTTTCCCAAAGTCTACCTCATTAAGGCTTCAGGCTCTCTAGGAAAGAGGACAAGTTTAAGTGATCTATTTCCATGTATAATCAAACATTTCTATCTCACCATGAATTTGAAAATAGTTTACTTATTCAGGTAATTTACCAAAACATATGGAATTTGATCTGTCTCCCTGTAGTGTCTAGAAAGTACTTCATATTTCCTTAAAGAATCTACCATACTCTCATAAAACTCTCAATAGCCTTGCCTCTTTAGTCACAAGACATTCCTACAGCTCTCTGGGTGGGTCTACATGCACTGCTACACACCAGTACTGCAGAACCTTAATATCCATTTGAAGTTTTTTGCTGTTTTATTTTTAATCCACTATTTGATCATCATAGAAGTAAGCCATATTTCAAAAGCATTTTTTGTATGAAATAATATGAGAGTTAATTTAAAGTAAATAGTTTATCTGGCTTATAAAAACATACCAGGAAACCCAGCCATCTAATCACAGCCTGGAAACCAAGAAACGATTTTCTCCAGTTGATCCATATAGTACTAGGGCATCCAAAATGGAAGTGCCAGATGAAAATTTCTCCAGTGGATCCTGAAATGCATACAGCATCCAAAATGGAAATCCGGAATGGACCTTTACAATGCAGTCTATGGATGCTCTCTTTTCCTCTACTTAGCTCTCCTAGGCTGTAGGCATTTTGTGGGTCAGAATCCTGTCCAGAACATACTTCACAAGTCCCCATCAATTTGTTTTACTTTTTTTTAACCAGTCAGCTAAACGAAGACCAATGGTCTTTAATAATAGGAGATTCATTAGTTCATAATAAAAGCATTTTAAATAGCAATGTAAATAAGCTAATGAAAGAATATTCTCTCACAACATTTGAGTCCTTTCTATGACTGCATATATCTGTTGTTTTTGTTCAGTCATTTCAGTTGTGTTTGTGACTCTCTGTGGGGTTTCTTGGCAAAGATACTGGAGTGGTTTGCCATTTCCTTCTCCAACCCATTTTACAGACATGGAACTGAGGCAAACACAGTTAAGTGATTTGCCCAGGAACACATAGCGAGTAAGTATCTAAGGCTGGATTTGAACTCAGGTCTCCCTGACTCCAGGCCCAGCACTCTATCCATCCAGCCACCTATGAATGCATATACGTTCAGTAGGAAAAGTGTATCTTTATAGGCATTATACATGTAGCATCCATGAATGGAATACTCAAGGAGCTCCACACATGAGGGTATACATACACAGAGATCACCTATGACAAGAATATATGCATGAAGGGACAGCTCGTGCCTCTAACACTGCAAGCTGCACCTGATGCCTGTTATTGACCTTTGCCAGGCCTGCTTTCCACCGAGCATTGTTTGCCTCCACCAGGTGTCTTCTGCTCTCTCCTCATCACCACTAGCCAATCCTTGATGTTCCTTTGCCACTAGGTGTTGTTCTCTAGTCTAGCTAGTTGTTGACTGCCGCTATCTTTAGCATCACCACACACCCTGAAAAAAAAAACTGGGGATAACTGTGGTTACAGTTGTATCATTAGCTCTTTTAACCACCTTCACATCCAGTGGGGAATGTTATGGTAAATAAGCCTCTCCCTGTGTATGACAGAGCATGACTCTCAGTTGGCTCTAACAACTTGCTCTTTCAGCTTTCTTCTTTGCCTGAACTACAATCCTCAGAAGACTTGCTATTTTCCATGCCATTTGAAACTCTGCCCTCTCTATCCTAGAGGTTCCCTGCTTAATAAACCTTTATTTAAGTGAAGACCAGCTCTTTTTAGCCAGTCATGGCTAAACTTCTCAGTCATTTTCTATGAAGTTTCCTTCCAATCTTCTCAAATAGCTGTCTTAGCGAGGTTTCTCAGCCAATAGCTATGAAGCTTTCTGCAGATTTCAAAGTCAATTCTCTAAGCCAGTAGCTAAGGAAGTTCCTTGTCAGCCAGACTGCCTTCAGAAAGCTTGTACTGAAACCCACTAACCCTTTAACCACTTCTTAGAACTATTCTATTAGCTGCCTCTTTTCATCTGAACTGAACTTTTAAAATGAACCATCCTCTCAATATTAATGTCACATAACTTATATTCGAAAATCTATTTTAATTTTTAGGACTTATACTCCCCATACTTCCTAAAGTTCTATTTGCTGAAATGGAAAGGGGATTGAGAGACACTGGAGTAAAGAAACTGTTTTTAACCCCAGGATTCCCTCGGTTCTATACAAAATAGCCCCTGCTGGCTAGAGAATTCTAAAAGATTGTTGACTTTCACTCCACTTTCTCCAGCCATATTGTAGTTTAGTCTCTTCTCTTTCTCTCTGGCCTTTCTATATTATTATGTTTTGTAGTTTAAGACTACTTCTTATAGTATGATATTCCTTTTTTTAAAGTAATTATTTATATGAACATTTATTATTTCTTCCTCCCATTGCCCTCCACCAATAAAATGATTACAACAGAACACAAAATATAAAAAGCCTCATATTGCATATGCATAGCACAGCAAAACAAATTACCACATTGGCCGTATCCAAAAACATTTGCCTTATTCTGTCTTTTAAGTCAATGACCTATCTAGAAAGAAGTAGGTGGCATGATTCATCTTCATTCCTTTGGATTCCTGATTTCTTATTGAATTATTCAGAGTTCTAAAGTATGTAAAAATTCTTTTTCTCTATAACTTTGTTGTCATTGTATAAACTGTTCTAGTTTTGTTCATTTAATTCTGTATCATCTTATTGAGATCTTCCAGTATCCTCTGGAACTGTCCATTTCATTCTGTCTTATGGCACAATAGCTTCTTATCCCACAATTTGTTCAGTCATTCCTCAGTAGGTTCCTTCATTCAGCTTCCTTCATTTCCAGTTTGGGGCTAATATATCAAAAATTGCTACAATAGTTTTGTACATATAGGTCCTTTTCCTCTTTGATCTCTTTGGAGTAAAGTCTAGTAGTAGTATATGTAGGGTCAAAAGTTATACATTGTTAAATAACTTTTTGGGCAGAGTTCCAAATTACTTTTCGTAACGACTGGACCAATTAACAGCTCCACCAAGAGTGGACAAATGCGCCTGTTTTCCCACAGCTACTCTAGCCTTTGTCATTTTTTTCTTTTGTTATCTTTGCCAATATTATGGGTATACGTTGGAACATCAGAGTTGCTGTTATTTGCCTTTATGTATTTATTAGTTATTTGGAGCACTCTTTCATACTATGATATTCCTTTTGCTGTTAACTTTTAAGATTATCCTAGTTTATATAGCTCACACTCACACATATTATAGAGAGAGAGAGTGAAGTGTGTGTACAGTCATATGTACTATGTTATTAATACAGAAGAATGGACAAATTTGTTATTATTGGTTTAACTTAACACTAGTAATTAGGAACATATTGGTGGATAAGGGGAAGGGTGGGAAAAGAAAAAAGAATGGTACTTCTTTTGCAGCTTGCCTAGTAATCAATTCTTGTTTGAATGTGTTTCAGGAGATAGGAGGCAGTGGATGTTTGCATTACAATGTTGAAACCCCAGCCAGAAGCTCTTAACCCCACCCAACAATTAATGAAAACTTCAAACACAATTCTAACAGTAGTTACTGTTTCTGGATTTGGAAAGGTGAATTAAAAGTATGAAGTTCTATGAGGCAGTTCATAGGAATCAGTCAGTCCTCGTCACCCTGCAGAGATTCAGACTTTTTGATTATCTTGAAAAAGTCTTATTTCATTTCCCCCAAGAACAGCTGGTAAACAAATGGAGTCCACCACTTTGGTAGTCATTAATCATACCAGCTGGAACAGCTGAAACATATATTGTTCTTCCAAAGTACATAGATATCTAACATCTAAATCAAATGATATTCTAAATAGAGTTTTTCTGGTTTTGGTTACTCCTTTTGAAAAATCAGAGTTGGTGTGGTTCTCTGTTCTCCCTTTGATCTGTAGTTCCTTCTTTTAGAAAAAGTTTCTCAACCCTGATGGATGTTTTATAAGCGATTTGTTACCAACTCATTTATTGGCTAAATTCAACTCAATTCAACACATTTTTATAAAGTATCTGTTAAATGCAAGGAAGCATACTAATTGCTGTGTGTTGACTGTCTATCCCACTGAAGATTATTATGCAAGCTAATAAAATGATCTTGATCTAGAATAAGTGCAGTTCTTATTTTTTCTTACTTATCTAAGCCAGTAAGGGTCTTGCAAAAGGCAGTACAAAACTTGCCAATAATATTGACTTAGAAGTTAATAATAAGGAAAATAACTCAGCATGCTACAAGATGCCTCATAAAAATCAAGAAAGAACTGAATTAATTCACAACTTTATTATCACAACCTGAATCATACTACAGTTTTGTTTGGTTAAAAAAAAAAAAACTTAATAAAAAAAAATTTTCCCTTTTCACAAGAGCTTCAACATTTCTACCTGGTATTTATCTCTACCAAACCTTTTCCCCCCTGGTGACAATAACCTTCTCTAACTGCATTATTTACCCACTGAAACAAATTTCTAATATATCCTAAAGAAAAAGGAAGAAAAGCAAACCCATTCTCATTAAATTTCTTTTATATCTGCCATCCGACTTCTTTTAGGTCTTGGTTACTATACAGGCATGTTATGGTGATAGCTATAAAATTTTAAGTTTCCACTTTCCACAGAGACCATAAAGCCTAGAGAAAAAGAGATGGCATTTCTTAGATCTGAAAATCCAGCTGAGGACTGAGGTAAAAAAATGACTCCAGGAGAAAGGCCAGATCTCTTCGTTTAGCCTGAGAGAGGCTCATCAGCCAGAGGCCAGGAAGCTGAGGCAATGGAGAGCAGCTACCTGGGGGATGTTTCCCCTTTCATTTTTCATATAAATTTGGCATCCCTGTCAAAGCAGAGAGAGAAAGAGACAGAGATAAGAGATACTGCTACACACACACACACACACACACACACACACACACACACACACACGCACATAAACACACACACAGTGTGAAAAGCATTCAGATGTGAGTCAGTTACTATGTGAGAAGGCAGGACATACTTTACATT